CCAGAACGAAAACGCGGGAAAACAGATTTGTCGCGTGCAGGCGGTTTGATTGGTCGCAACTGACCAATCAGCAAGCTAGATTGAAGGTGATTAACCAATGAATGCTTGTTATATATTTTGTAAGATTGTGATGGTGAAAATTACAACAGGAATAGTGCATTTCCTAGCAGGGGTTAACTGGCTTGTTGTGGAAGAGTCCACACTATTACTCTAGCTATGTAATATGGGTATAGGAAATGTAGCAAAGGAGTCAAATTCAATATGGAGTGTAAGGGACGCAACTCTTTCCGTAGGAAAATGTCTGACACAACGCAAAGCAATGTAAACCGAACACGGGTGTAAATGGCTTCTGCCAATTTCTCCAAGCGACCTGCTTTTATGGAGCCCAGACAAACCTCATTAGCATGCGTGTAACGCGACCCTGCGAGACTGCACGATACCGTGAATATTTAAAAAGTCACGGACGCCATCTTGGACCCTTTCTTTCTTTTCTCAACCCACTGGCCAGACAGACGCGAGGACGTTTGGAATGTAAGCCATTTCTATTTTCCCCACAGGAAAATATGCTCAAGGAATTCGAATAACATTTAGCCAAACCGTTTGTGATGGGCTACAGAAAAAAACTAATTATATTTTGGGGCCAGATCCATGCACAATTACTTCCCCTACGAATGTATTTACATGTCGACAACACAAGATCACGAAAAATTGGTGCCGGACTTCTATGACATTTTGTGGGAAGTTGTGCCATGGGTGACTTAATATGTGAATACAATTTGCCGTGAATCCATGAACTTCTATAGTTACCTACCCTACAAGTAGGTTTAGGTAGAATGACGTTGGCTGGAGTTATGTACTCTTTGTGCATTTTTAGTTATTTATGCTATTTTCATTAACTGAGTCATGAGTTACGAAACAAATAATCAAAACATTTTACAGGTGGGAGGGGGTCACTGTATAACATAAAGGATCTTGGGAGATTTTTTTCCGTTTTATGTCAATTATTGAAAGGGAAGTTTAACGCATTAGGAAGATTAGAGTTGTTACTTCCGTTTATGTTAATAATATCTCGTGATCACCAGTTAATGCTGGATTAAATAATATCATATCAAGTCGGGTCAGTCACCAGTTAATAGCGGTTAAATAATATCATGTCGTTTTTACCAGACAATGGGTGATCTATTGAAGAAAGGTTTATTCTCCCAGTTTGTATTTTTCCCCATTATGGGAATTATGATATCATAACACTTTATTTCATATATGAAACGGAATAGCTTAAAAAAAGGAATTTCAAACATGCTTTGTTCTCAGAGAGAGTTGTATGCCGTCAAATAATACACAAAATTATATGCACACATTTACACGTGTCCCACGCAGAGAAATTATAACATGTACTCAACAACAAGCCGTGTGAAAAGAGAACGAAAAGATAGGGTCTTACTTAAAATAATTCTCAATTATTGACGTGGTACTGCCGTGGTACTTCAGTGTTTCTGGAGAAGCCGTGACCAGCTGTAGTCCAAAAGAAATGTACCTCTGAACTGGCTCCAGTTCTCTCCAAACTATACAACTATTGCCTCGCTGATTCTTGCTTTCCAACTTGTTGGAAGTCCTCCTCTGTCTGTCTTTGAGATCTCTGGAGTCCCTTCTGACCCATCTAACTACCGTTCCATCAGTCTCCAACCACTCTTTGGCAAAGTTTTCGAGGCTTTAATCAATGCCGAAGTAGTTAAGCATCTCACCTCCCACGATTTGCGCTATATGGTTTTTCCTTTGCCTGGTCTACTGCTGATGTGCTTACGGTCATAATTGAATATGTATACCAAGCTCGGGCTGTTTCTCTAGATATATCGAAGACGTTTGACAGGGTTTGGCATGCTGGCCTTCTACATAAGTTTCAGGGATACCGTATTACAGGACGATTGTTTGATATAATCCAACCATTCCTATCTAACCGTGAAATGGAGGTTGTCCTGAACGGGTTCTCTTGCAGTTTCTTCCATACGAACGCTGGTATTCCTACACTGTTTCTGATCTGCATCACTGATCTTCCAGGCGTCATCAGTTCTCAAGTCGGCATCTACACAGACGGTACTACCATTTACTTTCTCAAGGACGTAATGTGGCTTTCCTCTGCTTTTTCTATAAATATTTTCATGGCATCTGCTCTGACAATCTATTTCCACTGATTCCCCCGACTGCATGAATTTAAGCGTGCTACTAAGTTGGCATCTCGGTCCCACGCTTTTAATGTCGGAACAGTTAAATATAACCGCTTCTTGTACTCCATCAGCTTCTTCTCTCGCACTTCTTCACTGTGAAATTCCCTTCCTCTAACTTGCTTCCCTGATAACTATAATCTTCAAAAATTTAAATATAATGTCAATCGGCATCTTCTGTTGCCTTGAACCCCGTTCTTCTTTTTATCCTTTCCTCAATCCTCCACCCTATACCTAGTCTTTTTTCTTACTCACACCTTCTATAGCCCCTTGCGTACAAGTGGCACTTCCGCCTTGCTTGGGGTTAACTGATTAAAACAACTGCTATGTCCCTAGTTAGGACATATTCCCCTCAAACAAGGAAAAAGCGAGTCATGTTTTGTTTTTTTTTTAATTGAGCACTTCGAATCGGAGATATTTTCTGAATCCGGTGAAAATATATTTCTAAAAAAAAAACAAAAAAAAAACGGCGCCAAGGGCGTGGGAGCTAATATCAGATTTAGAAACTGCTCAGTTTGACTCCTGGAAACTGAATGCAGGTCTGACCACATTCGTTATTCTATGATGTGACGTTACTAAGTCGGCGTTACGTGACCCACGTGACTTCGTCTCAACCTAAGGAAGATATTTGCCTTTTTTATCCTTCTAATGCAAAGAAAGTATTGTAAAGAATTTGCATTTTCAGCTCATATACAGCCTCCAATATTGAAAGATTTCAACCTTTCAATACACAATGTATTGTAAATAAATGCCATATTTGATTTGTTGATTAGCTTTCAGTGTGACTAGTGATGGAATTGCTCGTTGTCTTGCGACATTTATTTCTGAAAAAACATAAAAAAAAAGGCACAAAGAAATTTCCTTGCCTTGAGGTATTTATTCCCAAATTAAATAACACATTAAAACAAAAGGCACGATATAATCTATCGGTCTGCTATGTTTAAGTTCAAATTGATTAGAGCATAAAATTGGTACGAAATAGTTCCTCTAGCTAACTAGAGAGATATTTATTTTCAAATTGACTAAGACATAAAAAGGGATCGAAATAGTCCGACGTCTCGTAATAATATTTATTTCCAAATTGATTTAGTTAGACATAAAAAGGCATCAAATAGTTTCTTGTCTTACTCCGCATTGTTCTTTGTAAATCGATGTATCAAATGCGCATTAAAACATAATCTTCCTTCGAACCAAGCAACACGATCACAGCAGTTCAATTTGTGATAAATATTTCATTGTGACAAACTAAATAGTAATTTTTTTTATTAATTATTAATTCTAGGGATATTTTCTTTATTCTCATTCCTTTCGTTCAATAAAAGTAACTCGAAAGGCTCACATTAACTTTCATAGTAGAATGTATCAACTGATATTTTACTTTCAATATGACACGTGTATCGTCTATAAGCTTGTCAATACAGGATCAGATGCAAACAAGTATCTATTGGAAATATTTTCTCAACTGCTAACAAGGCAAAAGAAATTCGTTATTGCCAATAATCGCTAAATAGAAAACCTAATTTTAGTTTTAGAACTGCGACTAGAAATTATTTTTATTTTATTTTACTATAAATTAAAAAGTATGAATATGATAGAAAAATAATTAAATTTTATAAAAGGTAATAGCCTGTTTGCTACGTTAAATACATTAAACTAATCTTGGGCCAATACGTATTACTTCCAATGGGGGTGGGGAAGGCTGATTAGGGGCCCCGAACAGTTCTTTGTGAGCCTCGCTATCTTATCGACATTTGCTTTTTTTTCTACCTACATTTACGTTACAAATTAAACTAAGCCTCACTGAAAGTTAAAGACCGAAATATTTTCTCGGAATTTGACGTCATTCTATGGTCTGTTTTTGTTTGTTTTGTTCATGCTGATTATAAAATAAATTAAATAAATAAAAAACATTATATAAAATTCACTATTCTTTTTTTAAAATCTATAATGTATTAAAATTATTCAACCTTTTCAAGAAAATCTCAAGTTGATGTTAAAAATTAGGTTACAATAAAATATTGTGGGCGTTGACGTGAGGGTGTTTGTATTTTTAGAGGTGATTTGGCCTTTTAAAAATGCATGAAATGATAATTAGTACAAAAGATATATTTTGCATGTACTGATAAAATTTTATATCCCTTGGAATAAAATATACAATAGAGTTCATAAGTTCATATCAGAAAGTTCTCGTGTTGAACGTCTAAAGTCCTTAGCATATAGAGAGAGAGAGAGAGAGAGAGAGAGAGAGAGAGAGGGGGTGAGTGAATGAGTGAAGTGGGGAGAAGAGAGTTCTTGTAAATGTGTAGTGTATGTAAGTAATCTTTTCGACTCACTGTGGGATTTTTTAGGTGTCCGAAAATTTAGGGCATAGGAGAACGGACGAAATTATTTTATCGACTCTCTGGTTCCTTTTTTTTACCTGATCATCTCTGTGTTTATTACCTTTCATCTCAGAATTGTCTCTTGATTTCTGATTGGTTCACAGGACTCATTTCGACCAACCCTTTTTCTTCACCTACATTTAGGAATGATGACCTTTTGACCTATTTTATTTATTTCGCTTTTTCTCTTATCTTTTCTTTTTATTTCCTTACGGCAAAACAAAATGGTTTGTAAGCTTTTCTGTCTTTTTTTAAATAGCGAACTTTGTATTTTTTTTCTATCACTACAATACTACTTTATGAAAATTAAGAATAAAAATAAAAATGTAAGTGATCCACCTACGAAAAGAAAGAAAGAAAGAACGAAATAAAAAACACAACGCCCTAAAACGCTCAAGGCTTACGGCAATATCATGTTGAAACACCGGTTCTCGTACGATCACCGAAGTTAAGCAACATCGACTTTGGTCAGTACCTAGATGGGTAACCGCAAGGGAATACTAGGATGTGCGGGTCGTGTCATGGATAACGGCTTGGAATTGGAAATCGGGAAGTCAAGTTTCGATTTTAGTTGGTTTCATTATTCACTTCTCACAGCAATGGACTGATTAGCATCACGCATCAATAAATCATTTATTATCTCCAAAAATTTCTTATAATAAAAAAAAAACATATTCTGGCTTTAAATATCATGTAAAAAGGTTGATAACCCGTAAAAATCAAATCAAATCAATCGTTCATACTACCTGTTTTCAAGTAGATGCGAAATATTTAATCATTTATTTGTTAAGGATTTTTTATATATTAATGTCGATTAAGCACTCCAGATTGCGAATTTCAAATAAAGAAAAAAAATAGTTTTAATTTTAAGATTGGTTGTTTGTTTTTATTTAGTGACACATAAAACTCTATCGGCTATGTATTGCTGAAATCTAAATATTTTGTATGCACTTTTATTTTATTTTGGGGGATGATAATGGTTTAGAGATACAGCTCTTACTAATTAACCCATAACTGGGGGATAAGGGGTAGACTCATACATTTTTGAAGGGAATTGACGCGTAAGTGAAATTAACAATTCAGAGCGATTATCCATTATGTAGAGTAATATGAAAATAATAATAATAATAATAATAAAAAACACGAATATATCTGGTCTCCCTCCATCGTTTGATATTTATAAGGAATCTTTTTTATTTCAGTAAAGTTCTTTTTTTATTTATGGCATCTTATGGCACCTATAACCGTGGGGGGGTGGAGAAGAGGATTCGTACCCTTGGGAAAAGTATGAATCCACTTCTTCTCCCTCCAGCTATGAGTAAATAGCTGGACAGACCGGGTTCTATAGCCTTGGATGGCAACTGATCTACCACAGGAAGAAATGGCAACCTACTGCAGGAAAAAAATCTGCCTCGTCAGTCATGTATCGAAATATACACGATCACCTAAGCATATATCATGCACTGCACATAACTGACTGACTAGAATTATATTCAGCAAGATTCACTTGCAAGTCAATTTGCTTGTGTTATGAATTCGATTATCAACTAGTTTTCCTAGCAGTACAAATATATCCTTGCGCCATACATGGTCAAATACTGTAAGAATGTGATCTATTTAAAAATTTTTTTTAAGTGTTTCACTCCAAGCAAGGTGGGAAGCCACTAACACGCAAGGGAGTTACAGAGAGTTGGAGCGAGAGCAAATAGGAGTGATAGAGGAAAGGATGAAGAGAAGGATAGGGGATAGATCAAGGCATCTGGAGACGTCGATTGACATTACATTTGAATACTTGGAGATTATAGGTATCAGGGAAACAGGAAGAGGGGAGAGAGTTCCACAGGCGAGAGGTGCAAGACATGAATCTATTGGAGTAGAAGAGTCGGCTACATTTAACAGTTTCGACAATGAAAGGGTGTGAGCAAGATGCCAGCCTAGTTGAACGCTTAAATTCATGAAGTTTGGGAACCAGCGAAAACAGCTCCTTGGAGCAGTTACCATGAAAAATGATGTTAGAACAATCTAGAACTTACACTGGGAGCAAACCGCTTGTATACAGAAGGAAAATGAATTGAGCAGAAATACAAAAACAGAAAGGGGTCATGAAACCATGAGACAAGGATGCGTCTTCTTCCAGATTCATTCAACTTCTACAATAATGCTACTTATGGGAACTGGAGACCCTACCAGGAGTTATCATCAGTGGGTGTAATCTCAATAATTTTACATACATAGATAACACTATGTTTTTAGCCGGCTCAGAAAGGAAACTGTAGTACCTCCTAGACAGGGTGGTAGAAGAAAGCAAATAAAAAGTACTAACTATCAACATCAAGAAGACCGAAAAGTATGGTCATCAGTAAGAGAAAAAGTCCAAGATTTGAGTTATGAATTAGAGATAGAAAATTCAAGGAGGAGCAGAAATTCAAATATCTGGGAAGCATTTTAGCAGATAATGGGAAAGGCGATGCTGAAATTTGAACACATATTAGTCATAAGAAGCTTTCCAAAAGCTAAGCAAGGTGCTGAGAAATGGAAGAGAAATTGTTAGAAACAAAGAAAAGAGTGTAGGATTGCTATCTGGTATCCATCGTCTTATATGTTGGTGAATGCTGGACAATTTTCACACCAAACTAGGGGTAGCAGAAATGTGGTTCTACAGAAGGATTCTGAGAATTCAATGGATGAAGTGAGTAAGCAACAAGAAAATCTTAAAGAAAATGTCAACCAAAAAAAAAAAAAAGACTTCTACTCAGAATCAGGAAAAGACAGGTAAAATACCTTGAACACATAACGACACATAATGAGGAAGAAAGGCTTGGAAAACATAACCCTCACAGGGCATACTGAGAGCAAGAGAGATAGAAGAAAACAGTGAGCAAGTTAACTGATGAGCTTGTGTGAATGGATTGAAAAACAAGGGTGGAGGAGACCTTAGCAAAGAGAGAAAACTGCTAAGAGCCACATGAGATAGAAAGTTGTGGAGAACCATAATCGCCTATGTCCTAAAAGGGCACTGTACATAGAAGAAGAAATCTTGCTGATGTGGCCTCATCTATATTAAGATAAGCTGAACAAATATTGGTAATAAAGATGACTACTGTAGCGTGACAGGTAGCAAGCAGTTTGCTGGGTGTGCCGAAATACTTATAAATAGGGGTAATCCGTTATAAGCCTGACCCAAATTCCACATAAAAGAATATATATTTATGAAAGAAAATACACACATTAAATAGTAAATACATAAATAGATACATAAATAAAGAACAAATAAACTCCTACTGTGAGCTTTAGCTCTAAGGTCATCAAACAACTACATCGATTTTTGTATAAATTATCGAGCCCCTTATAGTATTACCAGTGATTTCTTTTTTTTTAAATTCACACCAGTAGTAATTTTTACATCTCTTTAATAAAATTGCTATGTAGCTTATTAGTTTGGTTATTTCCTTAGCTAACTAAAGGTAATAGTCATGTTTGATACTCATATTTTAACGAATCTGCATTTCTTACATCGAATATCTTTTCTCTATAAAATCTCTTTTGCTATTGTAAAAGAAAACTGGTAAAATCCAGGATTTGCCACCTGTAAAATATAGTGGAAAGATTGCAGAATGTGTAGCCCAGAACAAAAAATTAGAGTGTTCTAGTTCAAGTTCCACTTAGATCCCTTACATTCTCTTATGCATAAATACACTTGGGTATCGTATAAATACATCTGAACAGCCACTCTTCTAGATCCTTCTGTACTAATGTAGGTGTCCTCCAGGGTTCTGTCCTTGGTCTGACTTTGTTTTTAATTTTTCATTAACAACCTTCCCAATGGCATTAGCTCTCAACTTGGTATCTATGCTAATGACATAGCCATTTACTCCTGTCTTGATAGTAAGTCTTATCAATTCAATACGGTCAAATTAGCAGCTGATGTCAAAATCTGTTGTTATCTGGGGCAAAGAATAGCTCATTAATTTCAACTCTTCCAAAACAAAACTGCTTTCTATTAATCATCTGAGAGACCTCTCTTATGGCTGATGCTAATCTCCAGAAGAGTGGTTCATTGCACCTACTTGGGCTAACATTCTCAGCTGACATGAAGTGGAAAGATTATATTGAATCCATTGCTAGGTTAGCTGCTAAGAAAGTTGGTTCAATGCATCATGCTAGACAATTTTTCTTGCTAGAATCTATTTTACATATCTATAAGTCTACCATGCATCCATGCTTTGAATATTGCTGTCACATATGATCTGGTACTCCTTCTATATATTTAGGAATTTCTTGATAAAATCCAGCAATATTACCAATCCTAACCTGGCGTTTTGGTTTCAGTCACTTTCGTACTGTCGTAATGTTGTTTCCCTGTGCATTTTCTATAAATACTTTCATGGTAATTGTTTGGACGCGCTCTTCGCTGTGGTACCGAGAATTTATGAATTTAAGTGCAGTACTAGACTGGCGTTGAGATCTCTTCCATTTACAGTTGAGCTGACTAGTTGTACCATAAGTTCTATGCTGACAGTTTCTTTATTTTTAGTTTTTTTTGTGGTACAAATGCAGTGATACTGTATCAGAAATTGTTGGCCTGTTTCCAGTAAGAAGTAATTATAAAATAGCAATGAGAATAAAGGTACCAAGTGGGAGTGTCTTTTCCAGGTTCAAAAGGCTAACTAAAGTACTTGTTAAAGGAAATAGTCCCTTCAGTCAATCAAATCAAGTAATAAAATATCATAACTGGCATACCACTATGACTGATGAAGAAGAATGCAGATAGGTTAAGAATCATGCCATGCTTATTCCTCTTATTTAATTAAGAGAAATTCCTAATTTGTACTAATAGACCTAGAGTTATCTCCCTGAAACATAAAATTTTTGTCAATTTAAATAATTAAAAATTATATCTGTCTATATTTCTGAGATGAGGTATTGTAATTATTTACATTATTTACATTGTTCGGAATGTTGCCATATTCAAAACGTTTTGGCTGCTGCACACTCTGGCCTTCTTCAGGTTATTGGAATTTAGAACTGAACCCTTTATTTCATCCACCGGGGTAGATTGTTCTAGTTCCATATGCCATGCCTCTTCCAGATGTCTCAGTTATCTCCCTTTAACTCAACTCTCCAAATCACGACTATATGGGTCAAATCACTGGCTTCAACCAACGCTTTTATCCACTGGGAAATGTGTTCTTGAGGACATCAGTGTATGAATTTTTAGGACTTATAAACTTAATGGTTCAGTAACCATTTTTTATGGAGTAATACAGAGTGCTAGAGAAAAACAGTAATAACAACAAAACTGCAATATGAGCTCTGCTTAGAAAAAAATGGTTACTGAGACATTAAGTTTATAAGTCTCAAAAAATTCCTACACTGATAATCAAGACACATGGTCCAGCATTTGTTGGATTCAGTGACTTGAACCAAAGAGTTGTGAGTTCAATACCTGGATACTGCAGTAGTGGACAAAACTTAGAGAGTTGAGTTAAAGGGAGATAACAAGTATGCATAGGAAACTAGAACAATCTACTTGCATGAAATAGAGGGTTCAGTTTAAAATTCTGAAAGGCTAAAATGTTGTGAAAGTAAATTATATAAACAATTCACCCTTGCATGGAGTATTGCTGCCATATATGGTCTGGAGCCCCTTCTGTTTGCCTCGGGGTTCTTGATAAGCTCCAGAGGCAGATGTGCAATATAATTGGCTCTGTTCTGGCATCTCGTCTACAGTCACTCTCTCACAGATGCGCCGTCACCTCTCTCTGTCTTTTTTACAAATACTTCTATGGCAATTGCTCTGAGGAGCTACATTCGCTGGTTCCCAGACTTCAAGAGTTCAAGGGCCCTACGAGGCTGGCATCATGCTCTCACCCTTTCACTGTCGAAACTCCTAAATGTAGCCGTCTCTTCTACTCCAATAGCTTCATGTCTTGCACCTCTCGCCTGTGGAACTCCCTTCCCTGAGAGCTATAATCTCCAACTATTCAAATGTAATGTCAATCGACATCTCCAGTTGCCTTGATCTATCCATTATCCTTCTCCTCATCCTTTCCTCTATCACTCCTATCTGATTTTGCTCCAAATCTTCTGTAACCCCTTGCATCCTAGTGGCTTCTCGCCTTGCTTGGGGTGAAACGCTTAAAAAAAAAGAAATAATAATAATAAAGATGAGAACAATGATCTGAACAATGTAAATAATTAGAAATTACTTGAATGCCAAATTGGACTAGATTTTTTTCTTTCTTCATCTTTTATTGGAATTGCTCTAAGAAATTATTCTGATATGTATTATTTTTGTTGTATTATGCTAACAAGAAGGCAAACATACAGAAACAGGATCATGAAAATATATAAAGGGTGTTCCACTAACTTTGACGGATTTTAAATGTGAATTAAGTTTAAGTGTCTAAAATTTTTTTTCTTTTTCTTTCAGATTTTGCAGACATTTGGGTGATATTATTTTTTATACCTAATTGCCATAACATAATCCAATAGAGAAATAAATAAATTTTCACCAATAATACTGATTTATTTACTGCTGACTTTGATCCGTCTTAATGAAACACTCTTATATATAATCCATCTTTAATGAAACACACTTTACTTAAAAATTTATTTTTCTTTCAATATTCTATTTTCAGTTGGTTAATAATAACAACTATTATCTGTCTTGCATTTTGAGTACTTACCAAATAACGATGGTTAACCAACTAATATTGTTAATCATTTACTGGCTATTTTGAGTTTCACTAGGCATGAGATTAGACTAAACTTCATTAACGCCTACAAGTTTTGTATTGTATATGCTAACAATTGTGTTGAATATGCTAATGACTGTTGTTTTTGGATTAATGACTCAGCAAATAACTGTGTCAGGTTTAGTGATGTTTTTTAAATAACTGCTGGTTTAATCTCGTTGACCATTGGTAGTAAGTTTGATTTTACATAGATGCCCAGCTATTAAGGTCTTGTGCCTAAATAAATTAATCTTAAGGAATATGAACTTATCCTTTCGGAGAAGGATAGAGTTAGCAGACAGTTGGTTGTGTAATGAGTCTGATCCTAACTGGGTGTCTCATTATCAAAGCCTTAAGGTTTTTATTTTGGATATGTGTCAGAAAACAAGAGTCGGCTTCACAGACCATTGTTAAACGAGATAATAGACTAAGGGATTTAAACGTTGGTTTATGAATTTGGTTACATAGTAATTTAAGGCCAAAAACATATCGGTTGAAAAGTAATCATAAAAAAACAGTTAAATTTATAGTCTAATCTTTTTACAATGACGTTCACCCTATACAAATCCCAAGAATCAATCAAGGGAGAGAGTTACAAAGTAAGAGGCATAGTTTATGCAGATATGGGGAAAATAACAGTTAACCCTAGACTTTAGCAGGTTAAGATTGTAGTGATCGAGGAAGTCTTCTCTTAGGAGTCGGTTACAAAAAGTAGCAGTTTGTGGGAAGAAACTGCTTTAGTGGAACTTAGGTCTCAACAATGTAATACAAAGGGAATCAGTCGGTCAGTTATGTTCCATGCGTGATACACACTTAGGTGATCACGTATCTTTCAATACATGACTGACGCAGCAGATTTTTTCCAGCAGTAGGTTGCCATTTCTTTCCGCGGTAGACCAGTTGCCATCCAAGGTTATAGAACCCAGTCTGTCCTGCTATTTATCCATAGCTGAGTTGGGGAGAATAAGAGGATTCATACCTTTCCCAAGGGTATTAGCATGTAAGTGAACGTAATGGATTCGACTGGAATTCGAACTTGGCTCTCCAATTCCTCAATCCAAGTCACTATAACTCCATCATAGAAGGTTGGTTAATAAAATAACAAGGTTTTAATCTCAGAATTTCAGACAATACAGGAAGGCCGTATAATACAATGGTCTAAATATTTTGTTTCTATAATAAGTATAAGGATACATTTTAATTTGAACAGTTCGTGGAACAGTGTCAATAAATCATCTCAAAACATGACATGAGAAAGGGCAGAGAATGTCTTGGTTGAAATGTAATGATTAAATTGACATTGAGGGTACTCACTTAGGTAATTTGTAGACTCATGGTTACTAATGCTTAATTGATTTGTTTTCTACGGTTTATCAACATTTTGCAGGTTATTTATAGCTAGAAAATATTTTGATGTTGTAAGATTTTTTGGAGATAATAATGGTTTAATGATACAAGTCCTACTAATTAACCTATTGCTGGTGGAAGAAGAGGTGGGTTCATACTTTTCCCAAGGGTATTTGCGTGTAAGTGAAGATAACAAACCCAAAGATAATTTAAGAGATCTCATCAATTTACAGTTGAGCTGGCTAGATGTAGCTGTAATTTCTATGCTAACAGTATCTTTTCTTTCATTTTTCACTTGTGGAACTCCCTTCCATCTCCATGCTTTTCTGCAAAAATTTAAATGCAATGTCAATTGCTATATACTGTTGTCCTGATTACTCTTTTTTTTTCTCTACTCATTACTAATGTTCTGTTTCTAATTCCTCCACTCTCTGTAACTCCTTGTGTCTTAGTGGCTGTATTGCCTTGCTTGGGGTGATACAAATTTAAAAAAACAAAAACAATCAGAACTGACAATTCTAAACCATTATCCATTACACAACCTGAAAATCCAAACTTGCAGCACCTGATATTCCTAAGTGGTCACTCATGTTGGTACTGACTAGGCTTGACGTTGCTTAACTTTGGTGATTGTATGGGAACTGGTGTTTCAATGTGATATGGCTGTAAGCAACAGACTACACTAAGTGTCATGGGTCCTTACCTATAACAACAGAATGAACTCTTCCTAACACTATGTATACTATGCCTCTCAAGAGAGAGGGATGAATCGAGTCGAGCCGATAGTAGTTCACTCTAAACCAGACAAGACAGTCATACTAACACCTTTCACATCTTGTATTATTATTTTGTGTAATATACCTTTATTATTTCTACTCTTGTGTTCATGTTGTTCTTCCTTGGTCCTAACCTGGACCATAACACTAAGGAAGGCTGGAGAGCATATCAGCCAAAATTCAGGACTCAAAACAATTAGGTGGATAAAAAGTTGATAAACATTTAACTTGTTATTTACAGACTATTGTCCTCATCTGTGCTTGTCGATCCAAGCAGCATTCAGGGAATTTTGTTAATTTATAGGGGTCAATTATTCTCATTTTGTTGACCATCTCTAGGGACACCATGCCTAACTTTTACTTATTGCTCATCGTGCCCTTTCTACTGATTTTTATCTTAATTTTATTTATCTTGATTACTGCATTTTGGCTGATATACTCTCTAGACGTCCTTAGCATAGTCTGTGGCTTAGGTCCATATCATGTTGAAACCTTGGTTCCTATATGATCACAAAAGTTAAGCAACATCGAGCCTAGTCAGTATCTAGATGGGTAACCGCTAGGGAATACCAGGTTGGATTTGTGAGTTATGTAATGAATAATGGCTTTGAATTGTTAATCGGACAGCCAAGTTCCAATTTCCATTGGATTTATTCTATTCATTACACACAAATATGCTTGGAAAAGGTATGAATCAACCTCTTCTCCCCCAGATATGGGTTAATTATTAAGACTTGTATCACTAAAACCATTATTATTTCCAGAAATAAAATAAAAAAAATTGCATACTAAATAATTAGATTTTGGTATTAAATAACCATAGAACTTGATATGCTGCTAAACAAAAACAACCAATCAACACATTATTATCATTGATTCTTGTCAAGGTTAACTATAGTGTAACAGTGTTTTTGTTTCTTCTGTCAGCGCAGGTAAAATGGTTATGGTAGAATGGTTTACCCCAATGCCCAGTTGTCCACTCTTTTCAACTACCATGGCATGGTGAGACATTTTTTTTTTGACTAAGACATCTGTTGATAGAACAAAGAACAGGAATCTCTGAGTTTCTCAATGGTATTGGCTTCAGCTGGTGTTGACCAATTTCATACGCATCACATACCGCATATCACAAATTATATAAACAGCATGTCATTAAATAGATAAAGGCGTGCATAAATAATTTTCTGAATGAATAGTGAAGCTAGATAATGTGAAATATTTTTTGGCAACTTAAGCAGTTTAAACCAAAAATGTTCTATAAATTTGCAGAGTTTTCAATCCTGTCACCTGATACACCTGTCTGTGCACTGAGTGTCAGTGAAACAATTGCAAGCTCTTTATATTGTTTCAAACAAAATAGAATTTGCAATAAAGCCACTAAGTCACAAGGGGTTAATGAGTGTTAGAGAATATAAGAAAAAAAAAACTCTATTAAGAAGATAGAACATTAACCTTTGAGCTCTGCATTCCTGAACAATTTTAACTCTTCTGCCTGAGCTCCTGAGTCAAAATTCACAAAATAATTGGTATGTAATGTTTCATGGTAGATTTAAAAATAAGACAACCAATAGTAAAACACGACACACGTGTTTACCAACTTTTCAATTCGTGGCTGGGCATTAAGTTATTTTTCTCTACCACTGTTCAATCCATGGCTAGGCATTACTTCATTTTTCTCTACTACCAGTAAAGTGATGGTCAGGGCTCAAAGGGTTAAAAACAACAGGGATTAAGAAGACAGAAGATAACAATTGACATTGTATTTAAATTTTTGAAGATCAAAGTTGACTGGGAAGTGAGTAGAGGAGAGTTCCACAAGTGAGACATGCAAAAGAAGAAACTGTTAGTGTTGTGTCATGGCACAATAGTAAAAATAAGAAAATCAAGTCGAAGTTGCAACAGTTAGCATAGAACTTACGGTTGCATCTATCCATTTCAACTGTAAAAAGATGAAATGCTGCTGCCAATCTAGAACGACGCTTAAATTCATAAAGTCTAGGTCCTATAGAAGGAAGTTCATCAGAACAATTACCATGAAAGTATTTATAGAAAAGGCACAGGGAAGCTACATTATGGTGGTTGGTAAGGGACTGAAGTTGGGATGCCAGATCAGGACCAATAATATTGCTGATTCTTCTTTGGATTTTATCAAGAATTTCTAAATATATAGCAGGAGCACTGGACCATATGTGATAGCAATATTCAAAGCATGGATGAGTGGGTAGATTTGTATATGTTCAAGATGAATTCTTATGAGAAAAAAACAGTCTAGAAGGACACAGTGAACCAACTTTTTTAAAAGCAAACCAAGCAGTTCATTCAATATAATATTCCCACTTCATGTCAGCCAAAAATGTTAGCCTGAGAATGCAAAATGAGAAAATGAGTCACCCTCCTGGAGGTTATCATTAGCCATAATGACAGAAGGCAGAAAGGGTTTAAGGTGTGGTAAACTTATCAATATGTAAGATAGATTCCGGTGAGACAAATTGCCTAGTACTACACAGAGAACAAATTTTGCTAGCAGCAGACCTAGTAATTGGGAGCAGCATTTAGCAATTTAGAAATAAACATATTTTATTATTAATTATATTATTTTCTTCATCTTATTTCTTTTTATGCACACCTCATCTGATCAATTGAATCACTAAAATAAAAAGTGAAAACCTAGATAAACAGAAACAATTTTCGTTTTGTCTACAAGTTGTCTACAATATCATAATAGACAATACAATATTGTAAAAAAAAGTATGTGTTGGTTTTTTGAAAATGTTCAGCTATTTGATAAAAGTAACCAGTAGCTGTCCTGGACACCAATATACTTATACAGTTGTCATACGTACTGTGCTTCTCTCAGTCTAATATATTATGGGACTTATGTCTTGTCATGAGTAAGTAGCAGAATGTAGTGGTGAAAGAAAAGTGATATAATGGTATTAATTGCTCAGTGCCAGCCTTAATAGTTGTGGGATGCAATTTGAAATAATTTTTTACAGGGCCCAAGTTTCACATCCAAGGTCTTAATTACAGGATGCAAGTGATCATGATTCTCCATAAATTCCTTTCCTTTTTTTCATCTGTAAATTGGCATGGTTTACTAAGTTATTATTTACATGCAGACTATTGTCCTTATCTTTGTTGTTATCATAATATTGACAGCAAAGCTTCAGCAGCAGCAGTAGAAAAGTGAAACCTCAGTAAATGCAGTCAAGTGTGACAAGCTGCAGCAGTCTCACTAGAAGGCAGGTTAGAGTTAAAGCTCAAAGTTCTACACTTAGAACATGAAAAAATAGCCGAGTAAATTTGATGTCATAGTAATTGTGAGTTCAATCCCTGAGTAAGGAAGTGTATACTTGGGCTCAGTGGAAATGGGGCAAGCAATAGCTGAGAGATACTAAATAAGAACTAGACAAGATGACTCTAGTCAGAGTATGTCTATATTTCTGAAGGACACATGGTACAGTGGATAAAGGTGTTGGTTAGATCCTGTGACAGACCCAAAGAGTGTGAATTCAATACCCAGTTAAGGCAGTGGAGAACTTTCAGAGGGAAAATTAGAAGGAGATAACTGATAACTGACATCCATCAAACATGGCACATGGAACTAGAACAGTCTACCCCAGTGATCGAAATAAAGGGTTCAGTTCGAAATTCCAACCACCTGAAGAAGGCCGGAGCGTACAACGGCCAAAACGTTGTGACAAATATGGCGACAAAGATGAAGACAATAGTCTGAATAATGTAAATACATGACTCTAGTCATTGTCAGTAGAACAAGAACAATCTACATTTGTAGATGAAATAAAGGATTTAGTTTGAAATTCCTTGAAGGTTACCTTGATTGATGAAGGTCAGAGTTCACAACAGCTGAAACCTTATGATAATAACAACAAAGATGAGAACAATAGTTTGCATGTAAATAATGTAAGCAAGTTAAGCTAGGTAAAATAAGTATAATGGTTAACAAGCTGTATAATGAGTTCAACCCTCACTGAGTGCTTTACATGTATTGTTTTTGTCATATATATAACTTCTTTTATGTGCCATGTCTCGTCAAAATGTAAACAATCATAATTTTCTATGATATTTTTCCCACAATTTCCTGTCCTTTGTAAGCATTAATAATTATATAGGAAAATATAGAGAACTATAGTCGCCTATGTCCTGAGGGCACTTGAGGGACACAGCAGTAAATGTTGATAAAATATATACACTTGATATTATATAGATGTGATATTTTATGGATATCACTATGGTTACGTCAGTATGGATATGATTGTAATGAGAACAAAGGAAAGAAATATTCACTGAATTACATTTCAAAGGCCCAGGCTAGCAAAAAGCAACCTTCATGTTTGGTTGCTATTCATAAATTGAAAATCAACTCCCGCTTTGGGTCACTGCATGGAGTGACATAATGAAGTGGTAGTTATGTGAGCACTGGACTTATCGTCCACCAAAGGGAGATAAGCGCATTTTGTATCCCTATTGTATGCATATGTTGTAAATAAAAACATTTGAATGGTCTTTAAAGTATATACACTTGATATTGTATGGATGTGTTACATGTAAAAACCTTACAATATATACCCTTGATTTTGTATGGATACATTGTGAGTGAAAATATTTTAATGATCATTAAAAATATATGCTTGATTTTGTATGGATGCATTGTGAGTGAAAATATTTTAATGATTATTAAAAATATATGCTTGATTTTGTATGGATGCATTGTGAGTGAAAACCTTTTAATGGTCTTTAAAACAACGATGTGGCTTTTGGGCTGCATTAAATATATTATGAGGAAAGTAAACAGTTGAATCTTTAATGTCATATGTCTACTTATTCATCTGTTTATTTTCTTTGTATTTTCTTGAAAGACAATGCAAAGA